CTTGAGCAGCACCTTGGGGTGACGGAGTGTGGAGTGCGAGGGGGTGACAAGGGCTGAGGGGAGGGACCGTGCAGCCACGGGGGGGGGGCAGGCGTGAGCCTGTGGCAGCGAGGGCGTGTGGCCATGGCATGTGGCGTGGGGCTCCTGGGGTGTGAGATGGATGCAGCTGGCTGGGGCAGCTGGCCCGGGCCCGGCCCCATCCCTCGCCGAGCGGGCACATGGCACGTTCCCCAGCGGGGAAACACGAAGGCAGTGGGAGCTGCCTGGGGGAAGATCACACCTCGACTCAGCAAGGCACCACTGACTCAGTGAGGGGGGTGGGAGGAGGGGCCCAGGCCTCCTTCCAAGGCTTCCGGCGCCAGCCACGATCTGATCATGGAGCTATGCAAATGGGTGAGTTCATGGGCAGGTTCCAGCACAGCTGTGACAGATTTAAGAGAAAATGATGCAGCTCTTTAATCGGGGCTATCTTCACCGGGAACTCCACCCACGGGCCAGAATCTCCTGGAATCCGCACCCACGTGGCGGGGCCGGCAGGGGCCAGCCTGGCCCAGCAGCCCCTTTGGGGAGTGGCCAAGGGCCTTTCTGGGGATAAGGGCATCCCCTGCCATGGCACGGGGCTGGGGGGCCAGGCTCTGGAGAGATGTGCACCCCTCAGCACGTGGGCGAGGGAGAGCAGGTACACAGGGGTTTGGCGCTGGCCCGCCTGGTGCATGGGCGGGGAGGGCCAGCGGGGCCTGTGCTCAGCCACCATCTCCAGGTGCTGGGAGGGCAGCAAGCAGGGTCTGTTACATCCTTGCGCCAGGCCCGGGGCAGGACAGCCCCTGGGCACCAGGGCCAGGGACGGACCCAGCGGCAGCGAGGCACTAGCAGGGTGTGTGCGGGTGGAGAAGTGGAGGGAACCCCCTCCCCAACCAGCTGGCCTGAGGGCCTGGGCCGCCGGCCCCTCCCAGCTGTTCCATGCCTGTGGCGTCCCTGCCCAGTGTGACAACACCCCGTGTACCAGGCTCTGCGAGGCGGGCGTGTGGCCTTCGCCTAGGGGAGGCTCCCTCCTACCCGGGGCCAGGGGCCGGGGTTGCAGGAGGGACTGCGGCCTGGCCGGGCATGCAACTGAGGAGGAAGGGAGCCAGGGCCAGAGCCCATGGGCTGGCCCCACGCCCGGTGCCGGAGTGTGGGCTGGCTGCCCCGCCGGAGCCACTCAGGGAGCTGGGGCAGCACAGTGGAGCTGGCTCGTATGGGGTGTTGCCATCTGTAGGGCCCGGGCCCCACTGCGCCAGGCACTGTACATGCAGCACCAAGCCTCTGCCCTGACGCGCTCGCACTGAGGGCTTGGTGACAGTCAGCTCTTGGGGGAGGGGGTGCGCGTAGCCCCCAGCACGACAGGCCCTGAGCCGCAGTGTGGCCCCTGGGCACTAACCACTGAGCAGTACCAGGCCCTGGTGCCCCGCGGAGGGGCCAGCCCAGCCCAGTGGCCGTGTCGCTGTGGGGCTGTCGGGGTGTGGTGCTCCCCGCTTCAGCCTGGCCCGGCGGCTCTGGAGCTGGCTGTGCAGTGCTGACCTACTTGGGCGGCACGTACTCACTGCGATACCATCAGAGGCGAGGGGGAGCTGGGCCCGGCTTCCTCTAAGGGAGGAAATCACCTCAGCACCAAGGCAGAGATTACACAGGAGACTGACATTAACCCTCTGCGGCCCAGCCCGCCCCAGCGCGGCCCCCTCCCCTGGCTGTGGTCTCAGCGTAACCCAGCAGAGCAGCTCTGGGGCAGGACCTGACCATGATGCTACCCAGGGCAGCAGCACACACATCCCCGCCCTGTCCCGGGGGGGTGAGGGGGGCCAAGGCGGGGCTTTGCTTGTGGCTGCGTGGCGCACACTGGGCACAGGTGAGAGCAGTCTGGAAGCCCCAGAAGCTGCCCATGGTGCCACAGGGGTGGGGGCCTGGGCACCATCCTGCATGGCACCACATTGCTCATGAAAGAACATAAGAACGGCCAGACTGGGTCAGGCCAAGGGTCCATCTACCCAGTATCCTGTCGTCCGACAGTGGCCAATGGCAGGTGCCCCAGAGGGAATGAACAGAACAGGTGATCATCAAGTGATCCATCCCCCGTCGCCCATTCCCTGCTTCTGGCAAACAGAGGCCAGGGACACCATCCCTGCCCATCCTGGCTAACAGCCATTGATGGACCTATTCTCCATGAACTTCTCTAGTTCTCGTTTTAAAGCAGAGCCGTGGGGCCTGGTTCACACTCGCTGAGGCTGTCTCAGGAGTGCCCCGCGCAGCGTGGCCGGCGCTGGCCGGTTGCTCCAGGTCTGGGTAGAGCAGGGTGGCCGGGAAGTAAAGTAGCAGCCAGAGACGCCCAGCTCAGACTGGCTGGGGACCAGGTTCATGCTGCTGAGGTGCTGAGCTCAGCCCAGGGGCCCTGGTGCACCTCCCCTGAGCTGGGGCTGCAGGGCCCTGCTTTGTGCCGGCCTGACGGGGACCACCACCTGCTCTCTCCTGGGCTTGCCCTACACCTGGGGTGGGCTGGGCCCTGGGCCTGCGCTGGGGTATCCCCGGGCTCTCGCAGTGGCTGTGTGGCAACAGTGGGCTGGCCCCCCTGGCGCTGACGAGCTGTGCGTTGGAGGGGATCCCTGAGCAGGCATGCCAGCTGCCCCTGCCCATGGTCATCACTTGGGCCTGCAGGCGGGGCGGCTGGCGCTGCAGGGGGCTGACTCCCACCCCGGGCGGGCGCCTGTACCCTGCCACGCCAGGGAACCGGCTGCTGCTAGACCACACGCAGTCCTTCTTGGGATGGGACCCATGAGGCCTGCGCCGCTGCCGCCTGGCTCCCAGCGGAAAGCAGGCTGCTCGTGTCCTGGCCTGGCCGCTGCCAGCCCAGCCCTGCCTGTGCCCTCCCCTGCCCCGCTGCTCCATATCACACCCCCACGGAGGTGGGTCTGGTCCCACCCCGGTACTGAGTTCGGCTCTGTGGGGCAGCCATGGGGGAGCACTGGAGGCCCAGAAGGGCGGTAGCATCACGCCTGCCCGGCGTCCTCCTTGGAGCCATGGCAGTGGGGGGCGGGGCCCTGCCGACAGCCTGAGCACGCTAGCTGGGCTGGGAGCCCCACTTCCGCTCTGCTGAGCAGTCGGCTGCCACAAGCACTGTGCCCGCCGATTCCTAGGAAAGTGGTTAGTTCAGAGCCACTTACAGGAACAACTGCACCAGGCTGCTTATGCAACACTTTTCGGTGCCTTTTCAGTGTTAACCACACGCCTCGGTTCTCCTCCTTTACCAGAAGCAGTACCCACGGCAGGAGCCTGGCCTGAGGTCGCCCCTGCTTCCGGCCATGCACCTCCGCACCCAGTGTTCCCTGCAGTGGCGCCGTGAGCCAGAGGCCTCCAGAGGCTGCGCTGTGCAAATGCCACACACCCAGCGGCTGACACAGGCAGGGGAAAATACCCAGCAGGGGCTGGCAGGGGGCATTCCCAGGGGGAGGGGGCTGAGTGCTCCGGTGGGTTAGTCACGCAATGCGCACCACAGCCGCCCTGCCGGGAAGGGCTCCGGGTAATGCTCCTAGGTGACAGCTTGGCTCCTAGTGGGGCTCTGCAGCCCTGGCCAGCCTGGCTCTGCCCGTGGCACTTGCAGGGCGGGAGGAGGGCGGGCAGCACTGCCTGAGAACATGTTCTAGGGCCGCTGCGTTGCTCATGCAGGTGCTGGCCCTGCAGTGTTGCCAACTTGGGTGATTTTAGTGCGAGCCTCATGGTATTTGGTGTGTTCTTAAAGCTCCAGCTCCTGGAGTCAAGTGACTGCTCAGCCGCTTGCCTTTCATTAACAAACCCAGCAAGTGTCCTGCCCTGCTGGGTGTGGGGCAGCGCCTGGAAACAAGCCCCAAATGCAGTCCACAGCTGCAGCGACTGGGCCTTGACGTAGGCACGTTTCAATCAAACTCAGGCCGCGAATCTAGCTGGGCTCTTGTGTCATCCATGGCCCCAGCCCGGCTTTCTCTCCTGACCCCGAGTGGTCCCCACTGGGGTACTTGGCACGCCCGCTACGCCGCAGACAGCTAACCCTGCTCTTACGTCAGCGGGGCTCCATCTGCAGCGTTTGACAGCCTGCAGGCTGACAGGCAGGGCAAGCCTGGGGGTGGGGCATGCACCGTGATAGCCCGAGGCCCGGGCACAGGGTTTTCCCACCGCTCCTCACACAGAGGTTCAGGCCCATGTTTGTTCCTGGGCACAGGCCCATTGGATTCGCAGTCACTGGCTCCTCTAGCGGAGGGGCTGGGGCCCCCTCACCTAAGCCAAGTCGGTTTGGTTTCAAGGGCTGATCACTTACTACTGGTACAATAGCACCAGCTGCGATCAGCCCCCTGCCCCCCTCCCCATTATAGCAGGCCATGCACTGACCCTTAGTGAGAGAGAGTCCCTGCCCCAAAGAGCCGAGGCAGACAAAGGGTGGGGAAGGGAAACTGAGGCACAGGTGCAGACAGTCCCAAGGTGACTTGCCCAAGGTCACCCAGCAGGTGTGGCAGGGCCAAGACTAGTGCCTAGGCCCCCGCAGTCCCAGGCCCCTCCCTCCCCACTGGACTATGTGGCCCCCTTGGGAGAGTGAAGAGTGCATCTGACTCCTGCACTGCAGTGGGGGATGCGCCGAGGTTCCTTCTGGTTAAACCTCCCCCAGGCTCCGGTGCGACAGGGGCCACCCGGAGGGCAGTGATTGCAGCACCTGCTGCTCTGGACTCCGCTGGAGCCCAGGTGGGACGAGGCAGTGGGCGCCGGTCAGCCTGTCCCACCCTCGGCGCTCGTGCAGGGCTGGGCGCTAGCTACAAACGTCGCACCAGTGCCAGCTAAGGGAGCATTGGCTGAAGGCTCCTCGCGCGCACTAAGGCCTGGCTGCTGAGGCTGACCTGTGGCAGCCCCTCGGTTTTAGCTCTGGGCTCCCAGAGGTCCCGGGGCTGGCGGGTGCAGCAGCTGTGAGCCTGCTCCAGTCCCTGGCAACGTTCCCCTCTCTCCCCTAGGGCTTTCTGGCTGCACTGCTGCTGACTGGCAGCGGGTTCCCGTTGTTGGGCACCCCGAAGCCACGAGCGGCCGGGACTGGCAGCGAGCCCAGGAGGGCGAGGAGCCCGGCTGACTCTGCACTGGGGCTGCACCATCACCAGCGGCACCAGAGACACGTTGCTAGAAACAACTGTGCACCTGACGACCCCTTGTACTCGCCAAAGCGCTGCTGCCAGAAGTGCCCGGCAGGTGAGGCTCGGTGTGCCCCCAGCCCTGCACAAGGCTTTGCCTGGCTCAGCGCTCGGAGTCCGGCCCTGTCAGCTGGGGAACTGAGGCACATATTGGGTCAGTGATTTGCTGAGGTCAGCGCTAGGACCTGACTCAGGGCTCCCTGCTCTAGTCACTGCACGAGGCCCCCCTACCAGGAAAGCAATGGGGGGGGGCAGGGCATTGCTCCAATCCATGGGGCGCGCAGGTCAGAGAGCCCAGAAGGCCTGGAGGGACCGTCCCAGTCAGCTAGCTGAGCCCCTGGGTATCCCGGGCGGCCTCCCATCCCCACAGCGCCTGCGACTAACCCGCACGCTCACCCCAGCTGGTGTTGTTTGCAGGGAAGTTTATGACAGCTCCCTGCACGAGCCGTGGCAACGACACGGCCTGCAAGAGCTGCCCGCCCGGCACCTACCTCTCCTTCCAGAACCTCGAGCGGGAATGTCGAAAGTGCTCCGAGTGCCAAGCGCAAGGTAAGACGCTGGGCCAGGAGCCCAGCCACTCCAGCCCCGAGCCGCCAGCCTCTCGGCCAGCCCTTCCCCACCCCACTGGCCAGGGCCCTCGGGGGGCAGGAGAAAGCCTGGGGAACCTGGGCCCCGCTCTGAGAAGGAAGCAGTCCCCTTCCCCTCCGCTCCGCACAGAGGCCTGCTCAGGAAGCCTGTCCTGTGTTCAGCTTCCCAGCTCGTGCTGAAGAACTGCACCGAGACGAGCGACATCGAGTGCGGCTGTGGGGCTGGCCACTTCATGCAGTGCACGGACCCTGCCTGCAGAGACTTCACCTGCCAGGAATGTCGCCGGTGCAAGGGCAGGGCCACCCTGAAGAACTGTGAGTGTCCAGAGCGCTGCCTGCAGCCGTTGGATCCTGGCACTGCTGCCCGCACTGCTGTGCCTTCCACGCTGCCCCCCACGCTGTCCCGCTGCCCCCCACGCTGCCCCCTGCGCTGCCCCTGCCCGCCCTGCTGCTCCCTCGCTGCCCCCTCACCTGCCCCCCGCACTGCTGTGCCTTCCACACTGCCCCCCGCCTGCCCCGCTGCCCCCCGTGTTGCCCCCCGCCCCCCAGTCTTGCTGCGCTGTGCCCGCCCCCCCAGGCTCGCTGTGGCCTCAGGCCGTGGCCCAGCTGGCTGA